GTATTTTATCAACTGGGGTTTCCTCGCTAAAATCCTGGTGTCATCTCTACCTTTATACTTTGCTTTATTTTATCTGCATGTGATTAACTGTTTAAATTGCTAAAATAAGTAAAGTTGGTAACGACACAGATCTGTTTTATAAAACAAATAAAAACTTTTCTGTATACATTCCGCTACGTACGACTCACAATTTGGTATCAGAGCCATCTTCTAGACATTAAGTTGATCCTTGTTGGAAAGTTTTGTTTTGTGTTCAAAAATTGTTTTAATCATGTTTTATGCGCTGAAAGAAGGCGGTTCTAATCAACGTGGTCCCTTATTTGAAGAAGATAATTACAATTTTTGGAAATCAAATATGAGAGTCTATTTGCAAAATTCTGGTGGTAAAACTTGGGTAATAGTTGAATCTGGTTATACACCTCTTACATTAGATACAACTGTGGATGGTAAAATAGTCAAAGAGTTAAAAGAGATTTTTGCTTTTACTGCTATTGAAACTGGGCGTAATGATGCTAATGGCAAAGCTTTATATTCAATTATTAATTATATTGTTCCATCTGAATATGCTAGAATTTCTAATTGTAAAACTGTTAAAGAAGCTTGGGATATTTTGTAGGTTACTCATGAAGGAACTTCAAAAGTGAAGTTATCCAAAATTCAGTTGCTCTCTCATAAATTTGGCAACATTGTGATGAAAGAAGATGAATCCTTTTCTGACTTTTATTCTAGTCTTTTTGAAATAATTTATGAACTGCATCACTTAGAGAAAAAAGTTAGTGATAAAAAAATCTGTAAGAAAATCTTAAGGTCTTTACCTAAAAGATTCTAGATTAGGGTTAAAACCATCCCTGAACATTGGGATTTGACTACTTGTAGAGTTGATGAGATGGTAGGTTCACTAAAAACTTTTGAGATGCAGAATTTTGATTTAAATCAGAAGGAGAAAAATCTTACTTTAAAATCTACACAGGTTGAGAATTATGTGAATGATGACTCTGATGATGACATGGCATTCTTGTCAAGGCAATTTAGTCAGATTTTGTAGAGACAACAGAGGAGAAGAAATAGCAACATTGTTAATCCTCAAAATTTTGACAAAACGTCAAAGTTTAGATTTAATGATAAGAAAGTAGAAGAATCAAAAGAAACAGAATTTACTTGCTGGAATTGTGGTGACAAAGGTCATGCAGCCAATGTTTGTCCTAGTCATAGGAAAAAACAAAAGGATGGGAATAAAGGAAAATTAATGAAAGTTTCTATAGTTGAAAATTCTACTTTAAGTGATAGTGATTCTCCTCAGGATGATACTAATGATTTTTCTTATGTCGTTTTTCTTGATAGGGGTCCTCATGTTGTTCATTTATTTGACTCTGACAGTTCAGATAATGAAGACAATGAAGTTCATGATGAACAGGTGGAAGAGGCTGAAAAAGACGATAAAAGACTGAAAAAGATGGTTAGAGAAACCATTAAGACCAAACAGGCAATCAATAAGCTAGCAAATAAGCTTGTCCAAGCAAAAGGAGAGAATGAAGATCTAAAGAAACAGATCGATGAAGGCAGGAGGAAAGCTTTTAAAAGCAATTCTGTCATTACTGAGTTTGAGAAGCAGATTATTATTCTTGAGGATAAGGTAAGTGTTGCTAACTCATTGAAGGAATGTCTTACTTTAAAAAATGATTATCTTGAAATTGAATTGAAAACTGAAAAAGATAAACTGAAATGATTCAATATGAATCAAAACAGTTTGAATAAGATAATCAACATGGGTAAGGATGTAAAAGATAAGACTGGGTTAGGATTTGTTAAAGGATCTTCTAGTGGTCAAGGTAAAACAATTTTTGTTAAACCTGCTGATATGCCTAAACCTTGTTTGTCTAATTCATTGCATTTTGATACTGTCTTACATGCCTAAACTGTTGCATTGCACTTTCTGTGGTAAGAATAGACATAAGTATCACTTATGTTTTCAAAGGAAAAAGGAAAAATCTTCGAAAATTCATTCTCATAATAGTCAAGCTAAAAAAAAAAAGGTGTTTACTAAAAAGAAAAAGAATTTTGTGCCACCTAAATTTTCTAAAGCTGTAAATTTGCCTAAAAAAGAGGTAAAGAATGAAAGAGAATTTCAGGAAGTAAGAGTAAAGATAGTGTGGATCAAAAAGTTTGATTTGATCAATTATGTACCTGTTGAGTCCTTGGAACAAGTTTCCAAGAGGACTTTACCTTTAAACTGAGTCCTACAAAATTCAGTGATCATGGCTTATGTTTAAAAGAAAATTTTGTTGCCATTTGATCACTTGTTAGAGTTTGGTTAGAGTTTGATTTTCTAATCATAATCTTCTTGATATGCATGTAATTTTTTTTTTTGAAGAATTTATTATTTATCTTTGAATGCAAATTGAGACACATGATAATTTGAATAAAAATAGATTCTTGGTTTGTAATCTATACAATGAAAGATGATTTGCATTGTTTAAGGGATGTTTAGATTTAAATCTCTTAAGTTCATAGACTTTTGTGCACTAGTCCATCTTTGATAAATTTAGTTGAAAATCTTCTGATCTATTGACTAGGGTTTATTGTTCACAAAAGTTATAAAGGTTATTGTTTAAAAAATATGAGCTAAAAATAAAAAGATTGAAAAAAAACCATATTCAGCTTGAAAAGAAAAACAAAAAAAAATGCTGAATAAATTATTAAGGAAAAAGCTACCTATTGAGATTTGATCGAAAGTTCCCATTAAACTGTGAATTGAAGCTAAAAGTGGAGATAAGTTGAGTTGGGGAATTGCTGACTACTCTTTAGAGTGAAAGCCGCCTTACTTAAATAAAAAAAAATTGCTCAACACAATTTTATCTTAATGCTTTTCGATCAATAAGGTTTAGACAATAATCTATTGAAATTTAACTGAAGATAGATTAGATTAGATTTCACACACACACATGAACTTGCTAGATTAATTTCTAAATTTTTCAATAAAATTTACAAGTTTGATTTCATGTTGTGATTACTTTCTGAGATTTGAATTTATTTGAAAAGTTTGTGGAGTTAAATATTTGTTCTCTGAGATTTTTCTAAAATTCTCTGAAAGGGTTTTGAATTATGTGTTGACCAGTTGATTTTAATGATTGGTGATTTATTGTTTGTTTTAAAAAATAAAAAAAATAAAAAAAAAGAAAGAAAAGTTTAAAAAATTCAAAAAGATTTTGATTTTTAGGTTTTTCGAATTTTAATTTGCGGATTTGTTTTTTAATCACCAATGTGTTAGAACAAGTTTTGGGTAAATGAAATTTTGTTTTAAAAAGAAAAAAAACAACAACACTCCGGGTCAAGATATCCACTGGCTCAAAGCCAAAGTGGACTGTTAGTTTGGAACCTGTTCCAATGTTTGAGAACAGGTTCAAGGCTTCGGGAAAAGGCTTTTAAGGCCTGACATGTGCACGTTAAAGGGAACTCAACTCTTTCTCTTGTGTTGCGAATTTTGCCTGCTTTTTCCTCACATTTAACAACTCTCATATACCCACATATCTATACATCATCTATATATTTTGTTCATCATTCCATAACATATCTTGCATACATATTCATTGTAAATTGAAGAATAACTACTTGATGGTGAAGATTGACTTGAAAAATGGGTTTGTTGAAGTTGGAGTATGGGTTTGAACAACTTAGAGGATTGGTTAATAGATGGGTTTCTTGGAGTGGTTGAAGCTTTGAATTGTGCTTGGGATCATAGTCTTACATTGTTGTTGAGTTTTGGGAAGGCCAAATGTGATGTTAAAGGGGAGATAATGTTATGCTTTGTCAATTTGTTACAAAAAGGGGGAGATAAAAATGTGATGTTAAGGGGGAGATAATGTTAAGGGGGAGATAAAATAGTAAAAATAAGATAGTAAAAATCTTGGATATTTACTTAAGGGGGAGTTTATAAATTTTTATTTATTACGCTTCACTGGTAGTTGTTACTTGATAGTGTGCAGGAAAACAGGTCAAACTTTGCATCTAAGAAGAACAGTGTTCCTATTCCGTATTTTTGCCTTTTAACAATGAATGTAATTTACTTTTCTGCTTTGGGTAGATTGCGAAAAATTATTTTTAGGGTTTTGTCACGAAATTTACCAAAGGGGGAAATTGTGAGATATTAATTATTTTTGACAATTGTCGTAGACATAACAAGTCCATGTCGAGTTGTAATTTAAGTTACTTGTAATGCAAGTTATCAAGATCGACGGAGACTATGGATTTGGAAGGTTGTTCAAAGATGCTATAATTGTGATCATCACAGAAAAAGAAGAACACCATGTTAGGAAGAAATCCAAAAAGGTTAGGACACATTCCATATTTAGTAATTTCAAGTTTGGTAGATTTGAACCTGTTCATGATTCTTGGAACAGGTTTAAGCCATTAGAATTTCGTCTAGAAATCATTCTGCCATTCTTGATCCTGTTCCCAATTCTTTGAACAGGTTCAAGTTTTCAACATTGGCCTCGAAATACATTCTGCCATTTTTGAACCAGTTCCCAATTCTTTGAACAGGTTCAAGAGTCCTGATAGCCTATGGAAAGTTTAGTTTCCTGTTTCAGATTTCTCTCCTAGTTGGTTTAGAATTGTACCAAATCCTATGCACGAATTTTATCTTATTTTCAAAGGGATTAGGTCATTCTAAACTCTATATAAACCATGCCATATACATTGGTTGAAGAACGACTTTTACATTATTATTCAAAGCCTTAGGAAGATTATTTTTGCAAAAAATCAGAATTGATTTTTCTGATATCTTTCTAGAACACATACACATAAACACTTAGTTTAGAGTTGTGGTGTTTGAATCCTGATCGTGATCATACAGTCATATTTACATCGATTAGACGAAACAAATCTTCTTCTACATCATTCAGATGATTGAAGAACAGAAGTAAACGCAGTCACACTTTGAAAGGGTTTGAGCATTCGTGAAGTGTTGTCTGATCTACCTGTTACTCTTCTACAAATATCAATTGTAAGCCTGAGATCAAGTTGCTGTTGGACGGGGAGTCGCAAAGCCAGAGGATCGTCAGCGGTTGGTGTGGTGTAGAACGATAGGGTGTGAGCCAAAGTCAAAGTTCGGTATACTTTGTTTCAAGCATAGTGGATTGGTTTACTTTGGACTGCATAAGTCCACGAGGTTTTTCCCATAACAGTTGATGTATTTTATCAACTAGGGTTTCCTCGCTAAAATCCTGGTGTCATCTCTACCTTTATACTTTACTTTATTTTATCTGCATGTGATTAACTGTTTAAATTGCTAAAATAAGTAAAGTTGGTAACGACACAGACCTGTTTTATAAAACAAATAAAAACTTTCCTGTATACATTCCGTTGCGTACGACTCACAGAACCTTCTTTATTCAATCAAGCAGTTAAATATCAAGAATGGCAAAAAACAATGTGCACAGAATTTAACGTTCTTTAAAAAGCTAGAACATGGATACTTGTTCCCTTAACAACTACAATGCATGTTTTGCCGAGTAAGTGGGTATTTAAAATAAAAAGAAATTCGGATGGGATGATAGAAAGATATAAAGCAAGGTTAGTGGCTAATGGTTTTCATCAACAGGAAGGGATTGATTACAATGAAACGTTTAGTCCGGTGGTTAAGCATACCACCATTCGTACTGCTCTTGCATTGGTTATTCATCATAATTGGCATATTCGTCAATTAGATGTTCAAAATGCTTTTTTACATGGGAACCTAACAGAGGATGTCTATATGCGACAACCTAAGGGGTTTGAGGATCCAAATTTTCCGCATCATGTATGTAAACTTCAAAAATCAATATATAGTTTAAAGCGAGCACCCCGTGCATTGTTCAAAAGGTTCTCCGATTATCTTGAAGAGCTCGGTTTTACTCAATCAAAAGCAGATTATTCTCTCTTTGTTTACCACTCTAATGAAGTGCACATAATTCTCTTGGTGTACGTTGATGATATTTTGATAACTGGAAATAATAATGGGAGAATACAACAACTTATTGTCTCATTGGGAAAACTTTTTGCAATGAAGGATTTGGGTGTTCTTCACTATTTTCTTGGACTTGAGGCTCATTTTTCCAAAGATGGTTTATACCTAACTCAATCCAAGTATGCTACTGATATCCTAAAATGGGCTCATATGGAAGATTGCAAACCTTCCTCTACCCCAACAGCTACTGCCAAAAAGATGGATGCTTCTACTGGTGAATACCTTGTAGATGTCTCCAAATATCGTAGTATTGTTGGTGCTTTACAATATCTTACTCTTACAAGGCCTGACTTAGCTTTCACAGTTAATCAGGTTTGTCAGCATATGCATCAACCTACTACCACACATTGGATTGTTGTCAAACATATTCTTCGCTATGTTAAAGGATCGTTATATAATGGCTTACTTTTTCAACCTGGAAAATTAGGTCTAGAGGGCTACTCGGATGCCGATTATGCGGGCTATCCCATTGACTATCGTTACACGGGAGGATATTGTATATATCTTGGCTTAAATTTATTCAGTTGGAGTTCAAAGAAACGTCCCACTGTATCTCGCTCCAGTACAGAGGCAGAATATCGTCAACTTGCTTTTGCAGCTGCAGAACTCTCATGGTTACGACAACTATTTCGTGATCTTCATATATTTCTCCCATCTATTCCTATTCTTTGGTGTGACAATGTTAGCTCCATTTCACTTGCGTCCAATCTTGTATTTCATGCAAGAACAAAACATATTGAAGTTGACTACCATTACATTCGAGAAAAGGTGGTTCACAGCGAATTGGATGTTAAGTATATAAATACTATTGATCAAGTTGTCGACATCTTCACTAAAGGACTTCATTCTACTCGGTTTGCTCTTCTAGTCCAAGTTGTTGGTCCGAGATCGGTCTCTCAGCTTGAGGGGGTGTGATAAACCAAAAGATATGGTAACAGCTGTAACATGATTATTGGAATATATTCTTCCTAAAATCTCTCATTACGTTTGTAATTCAACCCCTAAAATTAAGGGATTACATCTATTGTATCCCTATAGTCTAGGGATCAATGTAGGCAAGTTTGTATATAAATACATGTACCAGAGTTACTAGAAAAATATAGAAAAGATAATATACAATTTTGTTCAAAGTCTTTCAGGATGATAAAACTAAAAAAACAAAAAACACTCATATCACACAATTATTGCCAAAAACAATCATAAATTTATTAAATTGGAGGAGGAAAAATAAAATCCTCCCGAGCTTAATGTAAAAATCATTCTATCAATCACTCTCAATTTTAGTAGAAATCCTATTTCTGACAGCAAAATTTCTCACAACATCATATCTTATGCTTATCTTGATTGATCTAGTTTGCAAGTTGAAACTATTGATAATTCTAATAATTGGAAATATTGAAAACTGATACAAATTTTGTCGCAATTGAGGGTCTCACCTCCAAGGGATGGGGACACACCATTGTGCTTGAAAAAAAGTTTGCAACTAAGTACAAAAGTAGTCTACACGAGAAAAGGATGTCAATGGGTAGGTTGGGAATATGGTACCCCTGTACAAACTTATTGCAAAATGCCAAAGATGATTTTTTTTTTTTAACATAGTTTCTGATCAAATTATCATTGCTTATGATCAAAAGATTATTTTTTTCCCCCTTTCTATAACAACGAACCTACCGAAACAATTTGTCTCCATAATTGACTTAAAACCCAATATTGATTCACATATAAAAATTATTTAAGAAAGTTGCAAAAAACGTAGAGTTTTAGAAGTCTATTTATTTAGAGACCGAAGTAAAAGTCAACACTTTTCAAAGTCATAGATTTTGACCAAAAGTCTGATATGGATAAAAAAAAAAAAAAAAATACTATTTATTTGTCCAAACTATCCTTGGTGTTTTTAAGTATCACTTTTGTGTATGTAAGTACTACTCTTGTGCATAAAAATATTACTGTTGTGATAGGTATCACTCTTATAATTAGAGTTTATCACTTATGTGTACAAAGGTACTACTCTTAGGTAGGTAAGAATCACTTTTGTATAGAGGTACCACGTTTGTGCATGTGAATACCACTCTTGTGTACAAAGGTATCATTCATGATTCGCCGTATCGATCGGTTCGTAACTCTTTTTTAAGGATTCGATATAATTACACACCTTTATGAATCGGCCAAATTATATCAATATTCGTCCAATTCCATTATATCGCGATCCATATCGCTATCACAAATCATGATATCACTTTTTGTTGAGACCATTTTAATTAATGGATATGCAAAAAAAAAAAAATGATGCATGCCTGTGTTTTTTTTATGTCCACATCAAGCTTTGGAAACTCCACTTTTTAATAATTTATCCAGACTGAATCTTGGAATTAAGGTTGTAAACTAGATCAGACTCCCACAAACATAATTGGCCGGACACTTGCCCTCTTGCTCAAAAACTAATTCTTGGGTATATATAGTTATATGTTATATCTACGGGTCCATATACATTCAATATCTTCCCTATTGGAATACAATATGGGTTATCGAACCACTCTACCCACTCGAAAAAAAAATTTAAACACTTTCGGATATACCGAATTTAATTCTAATACCAATTATATATAACAAGTCAAGTTGCTCAAAGTTTAATTCAAAAAACAAACAGGTAAATAAAAAAACAAGGAATGGACCGACTTTGCCATCCTCAAGTCCAGTTCAGTTCAATTTTATTTCTCTTAGATCTGCATACATTCTAGTACATCCCACCTAGCAAAACGGACAAGGGAAAGGAGAATTTTGGTGTAAAAAAATGAATGTGCATGATCTATCCTCAACCTGTCTCTTCACAGGAGGTACTACTTCCAAAATCTAATCCAACCAACCACCCAACTTCTTTTATCATCTCTGTATTCATATTACACACACATACAACCCCTTCAACACTCATATGTTCTAAATTTCTAATGCCCATACAACCATATCTGTCTTCCTTGTCCCACCTCCCACAACTTCAGTGGTCCTCTTTCTTTACTACCAAATTAATGGTCTCTATATAGTAATTTCATCACTTATTCTTAGGAAAAATAAAAAGAAAACCGAAACTATATTGATAATCAGTGCTAAATGATTTCTAAAAATGGGAAAATATTTTCCATCGTTATTTAAAAATATATATATACATATATATTTCTAAATGTAAGTCTATTATGGGGCATGAAATACATATGACATGTTACAGTGCATGTACACCGTTTACCTTTAATTGTCACAGAATCCATGAGTGCTAGCTTATCCTATCAATTAGACACAGATGGATGGATGAATACACACACACACACACACACACACACAGAGTATGTCAGAGAAAGATACAATGCACTTGCAAGTGAGAAAGGCAATTGCAAAGGGCAGTCATCTACTCTAATAATCAAAACCTGTGTGTGTGATGTTGGGGCCTTGTAGGGATATCTTACATGGGACTTTTAACTAAATGTGGTTTGACACGAACACCCCCCTCTTTTTCTTTTCTTTTTTTTTCCTAACTTTGACGTTCTTTTATATTATATACGTAGTCCTTTGGATTTGATTCATATAAATAACACTAAATTGGCTTTTAGCGTGGTATGATCCTCAAGCCATAAACAATCCTATCATTCGATCCTGCCTTGGGAGACAACCCTCCCATCCTCCTCAATTAGTTTGTTCAAAAACAAACACTCGCAATTTTGACCATTTTTTCAAGACCCAAGCATATAATAAATAATTAAGTATCTTTTCATTCAATACTTAAATTCGTTATTTCCAAAGTTCATCTTTATAATAGTTGTATTCGAGTAGAGAAGTTTTCTATCACCATTGAAAGTCTTCAGATCATTACAATATAATATATATATAAATGTATTCGAATATTATGTTTTACGGAGATGAGTAAAGCGCCATTTCTTATTTTCTTTATTTTATTGTTTTTTTAAACCCCATTGATTGTTGGGAGCTATTATTACAAGTGACTCCATTGTGTCTACTAACTAGTAGCTAGTAGTAAAGTTTGATGGTGATGTTCATGAGTCCTGCATGGACTTTATAAATGTAGGTGAATTATGTGCTAGACACCCATATAAATACGAGATATATGTCCTATACTTTGAATATTAGACATTTTTCTTAAGGTACGTATATTAAACAATTAGTTCTTATTATATTATTATTTCCAAATAAGTAAAAAGTCTATTAAACATTATCTTACACAAAGACATTATTTTGCTTTAAGTGCACCATACACATGTACAAAGTCCATGTAACATACATAGAAATAACATATATATCATGCACAAATCTCTAAACTAATTATGAGTTTTAATTCTAAGGGGTTGGCCAACTTGGCCTAGCTGAAAAAGATTTGAGTCCTGGTGCGTTTTGAAGTATCAAGTCTTAAGATCAATTGTTCACATGTGTAAATAGTTTATTAGAAACAATGTTCGCAGACATAATCTGAATTTTACCTCATCCCTAGCTGTACTACAGGACTTTGCATGATCATGTAGATTAGTTGGAGGATTTATCACCAAATGTGTTTCAGCTCCAGCTAGAGTGATGATAAAGAAGTGGGTTTTTTCAGACGTTGGAGGGGTGTGAAGGAAGGAAGTAGAATAAGAACCAAAAGTGCTAATAGCACCAAGACACCTATAGCCTTCTGTATTTTGGGTCTTTTTTGCATCTTTTCATATGGACCTGCGTTAAAGTGATCACTATTCTGTGATCTTTTGTGGTGAACTTTTTTCATAGTGACCACACAAATCACAAGTTAAGACACATGCTGTGAAATAATAAACAAGAATGAAATTTTTTTCCATGGAAATTAAGAAAGAATGAGATTTTCCATATGCAAGAATGCTTCAAATTAATTAATTAAATATTTTTGCACGCGTGCATTTAATTTAAATGGAATTTATTGCAAGTTGATGAAATCCAATTCACAATTAACTTCCACAAATAATAGATCCAACTTCAGTTGACAAAATAAAATCATGCAAAATCAAAATTAACAACAAAATAGGTTTTAAATGATATATATATATGTAGCATTAACAAAACTTTGTTTGCATGCAAAGCACAATTAGTCCTGAACCTGCAGGGTGACTTTGTGTCACAACTGGAGAGAGAAGGGAAAAAAGTAGACCGATCAGTTAAAAATATTACTTTCTTTACAAAGCCACATAAGTCCATAACAATCAACACTGCTTAGTAATGCATATACCCAAATTAATAATTTTGATTTCTTCTCTCTTAATTAAATATTTCTCATCATCTAATTAGCCCACAATTAATTTGATCATACGTAGGGCTGCTGACAAGGCTTCACCAAGGATGAATAATTCATATTGGCCATGGCCATGGCAGAGCCGGTCGGGAACCCGAAACCCATGGGCCTATTAGCCCCCACTCGTTCCAAGGACTGGACTTGCTTCTTCAAGAACTTGACGTAATGAATAGCCTCATCCAACATAGAAGCTGTGTCCATTTTGGTACCACCAGGAACAAGTCTCTGCAAAATCCTAATTCTCTCGCTAATCCTTTCCCTCCGGTGCCTCGCCGCCACGCTCTGCGGATCCTTGGATATCTTCACGTTCCTCCGCTTCGGCGGCTTCACCGCTTCCGGGTCTATCTGAATCGGCTGCATGGCCGCTATACCGAATATCATCTCTCTCATTGCTTCCATGGAGTTTGGACTACTCATCTGTGATGATGTGACTAGAGGTGGTGTCATTGGTTCATGAACTGAAATGTCAACCATGAAGGGCATGGATGCGTGCGAGCTGGTTAAATGTGGGCTGTGGAAGATAGGCGGCGGTGAGGGTTGGATGGTGGTGGCGGCGCTTCCGCCGGAGAGTTGGATGTCAGGCAACTGGGTGGTGTTGACATAAGCCCCACAGAGTTCAGGAAGCTTGTCAAGTTGCATCATCATCGTCATCATCTCCATTTGATCTGCTGATGACGACGACCTTATTAGGTCAACGTCCATCTACTCTGTAAGTACTCGCGTGTGTGTGTGAGAGAGAGAGAGATGTGAAGAACTCAGATACTGAGACAGAGGGATGGGGAAGCTGCAGAGAAGAAGGCTTAAAGAGTTGAGATTATCACAAAAGAAAAGTAGTAGCTATTTCTAGTATGGGAATATGTCAGTGGAAGGATGAATATATATAACAAGTCCAAACCAACACACAATTATATTACACACATAAAGTATTTGTGTTTTGGATAATGTGGGTAAATATATGAAAATACTTAGATTTTTTTCTCTTCACGCGACATCATTTTCACTCACATAAATGTCATCCCACTAACATAATAAATGTGTACAACTCTGTATGAGTCTATACCTCTCTAATTCTAATTACCACACTTACTACGTATTATTTTTAATGTATTATTATAATTTTGTGCATTCCGTTTGTAAACGAGAAACTTGAATTCTGAAGCACCAAAGTATATGTGAGTGCTCGACCATCCGATAATTTCTAGACATTTCATGCACGCCGTTCATTAATGAGGCCACCTCTTCCGAGAGGTGATCCAATGGAAAATGGATCTATCAACTGATGAGGAATGGGAACAGAGGGAACACATCAACCATCTGATCAAGTCAAGTTCCAAAAGATTGAACTGTGGGTACTAAATCGTTGAGAGATGACGGTAATTAGATCTAGTGGTGGGCCCACGAATTGAAAGGCTCGGATCAAAGGGATTGTGGTGGAGTAAAGGTGCATGAACCATTACTTCATATTGGTCAGTGATAGAAAGTCGTAGCTTGCTTTTGTCTTTGCCTTGAAACCCTTCTTTTTTTTTTTTTTTTTTCTCTTAACACTTGTTTTTATGCTTAAAAAAACTAAAGAAACACCCCCACAATCACATGACATGTGTCAGAAGATAAGCCCCTAAATTCAGAAGTGGGGTCTACCAACAGTAATATTCAACGTCGGGTTATATCCTGCTACGCTGCACCGCTCCATCGGCACGCTTCTCTAGGTCGACCAGTCGATCGCTGATGATCTACTGGATCCCTTTGTACTCGGTGAAAGTTACCTGCTTTGGTAACTAACTTACGGAGCTGAACCCACTGACTTATGACTGTCGCAAGTCGAAAACTCTATACTTTTACAGCAGCACAACGATGTCGTATTACCAAGTAGTAAGCCGAGTTTTGAATTATTTGAACTCGATTTAAACTCACATAATCTCTTCGGGATACTTGCTCCTTTTTCTCACTTATAAGTTATAACCGTCGATAATTGTTTTTATTTTTTTACCAAAAATAAAAATAATGTTTATTTTTTGGGATGTGTTTAATAGTGCATATTTCGTAACACTTTGTTTTAAGTAAGAAAGAAAAAAAATTAGATGGAAGAGAGAAATTTTTTTTTTTTTTAGGTTGACTGGAATTAGAGAGAAAGAAATATAAAATTTTAAATTGATTTTACTATTATATGCAGTAATATCTATAATATTGTAATTTATAAAGGATAATTCTTTCATTAAAAATTTCTATGACTTTTCTACCCTCCTACGTATTTTTAGATGGATGAAAATTTATAAAGAAGGAAGGATGACACATCTCTCTTATTATCTTTTCTTTGCTTCCTTATATCATCTTTACCGAACAAAAAAAATTTATTCCTTCCTTTTTATTTTCTTTCCACACATCATTCTTTCTTCCACCAAACAAAGCATTAAGATTTTTAAAAGTAAAAATATAAATATATGTCTAGTAAAAAGTGTTGCAAGTTAAAAAAATAAAACGGTTAGAGTTTGTTTTTTCTGTTCATGGCTATGCGATTTTTTCTACAGTGGAGAAGCAACCAAAAACAAAATTTGGTTTTTTTTTTTTTTGAAATTTTTTGATACTATTATTTAAATCGTAGCAAATATATTATTAAATATACTTTCATATTTTGCTTCAGTACAATATACTATCTAAAACAAAAATACTAATTGCCAAACAAAACGTCAGTAATTGAATTCTAATCTCCAATTTAGAACTCGTACTTCAGATCAAGATATTTTCTTTAAAAAAATTAACTATAAATTCAAATAATTCCTGATAGATAAGTCACTGTCATCAATATCACCGAGCTTATTTATAAGTATCTTTTATGAATAAGTTTCCTAGTCAAACAAGCCAAATTATGAAATTTTCAAACATGACTTATTTATCAAAAAAAACTTAAAAACCAAACTCGAACCAAAATTGTTTATGAAAAGTTTAATTCGAAGGATCAAACTGGTAAGAATCCAAACTCAAGCAACATTTTTTTTCTTCATAAAATGTCACCATCCGGGAAATTTTTTTTTTAAAAAAAAAACTACTACTGAGGGATCATTAAAAATGCATTCCCTAATCCAATCAATGTCAGTTAATTTTCCCTTTGAATAATTTGTTTGACAGATGTTAACCATGATGATGCTGATCTCGAGGTGGACATTATAACTTCCATTTTGAATAAAGTTACGGCACTATAATTTGTACACTTAGCCATTTTTAGTTTTCTATTTTTCTTGGATCCTTTTCTCATATTCTGAAGTTTGTACTATTTTTATACTTTTTACTTTTGGAGACAAAGCTATCATTCCGTCTCAATTCAAAGACAACCATCCTCAACGAAAACCATGATACATTCAACTTACATATACTAATATGCGCGCGCGCGCACACACTCAAAACTTAGAAAAAAAATTTCAAAGAATCTTAAAATATTATTCTCTGAAATTAAATTATAAAACAACATTCTTAAAAATAAACCAAACAACCCTTAATGTTTCAGCAATCTTCAATATCACTTGTCATTTTTAAAGAATTTTTTTAATTTTTTCTGGAGTAGTTTTTACCAATTTAGGGAGGTAAAATGTCACATGTTTATTTTGTATCTTTTTTTTTTTTTTGTAATTTTTTAAGAAAATTTATTTAGCTGAACTTGGTGAGATGAGATAACAAGACTTGCTTGATTTGTAACTCTGAAAACAGTTATTCAGAGAACAGAAAACAATTTTTATAAAATAATAAAATACAATTATCTTAAAATAGGCTTTTTTATAATTGTGTTTTTTAAAAACTGAATCAAGCAAAAAATTTTATACATTTTTCTATTTTCAGTTTTGTGATAATAGAAAACGGCTATCAGAGTTACAAATTAAGCAAGGCTTAAATAGCTTTTGGATGCAGTTTCAGAACAGCAAGTTGTTGCAGACTCGTGATAATGGAAAAGCTCTCTCTCTCTCTCTGCACAACATTTTCTACAAGAAAACAGAGGAAAGAGGACGTATTACAGTACTTGGTATAGCAGAATGGATAAAAGTATCTATAAGAGACAGTTGCTATTGCTCTGATTATTTTCCCTTCTAACCTTGAATTGTATTGTAGTGTGAGGGTGAGAATGAAAATTCTCGAGATAATTTAACTTAGTATCAAAATAATATCGTTTTGATGCACACGCAAGATGTAATTTTTTATAATCCAAATTATACTTTGACTGAACCAAATTACTTTTGAAAAATATATATGGAAGGATGCATTTTTAAGACTCATGAATTGTGTTAGATAATTCAACTTATGTAAGTGGACAAATTTGTTGGTTCAAAGAATTGTGTTAGATAATTCTACTTATGTAAGTGGACAAATTTGTTGGTTCAAAGTTATATTTTAATTCACCTTTTTCTTTTTCCTTTTCATTTCGCAAAGATAATTATGTTATTTTTTCATTTCACTAACTAGCTTTCAATAGTTTAGAAAGATTATCTACAATAATCAATCAGGTGTTATTTGTATTTTGTCTAAAAATTAATTCATGCATATACTACAAAATTGATTTCAAACCAAAATATATCAGTTTTACCAAATCACTATTCACTAATTCTAAGATATTCGAGATTTTAATCACCCATTGCCATTTACTAAAGACTTTTTTTTACTTCTCAAAGTAGAAAGTTGAGAAATCAAGTTTTTATAAAGGCAGAAAATGAATATGATAGTGTATTTCTTGCCTTAATGGCCTTAGTTCGGCTTAGTGTATTTCTTGCCGATGTTTAATTGTTAGAGGGTTTAATTTGGCTTACTGCTCCGTAATTCGCCGGATGTAAAAAAATTCTCTCTGTGAAACAGTGGTGGACCGGTGGTCCCACTTCTTTTTCAGAGAGTCTCGATATTTGTACAAAATATTCTTGACCCGTTTGGATCCTATTCCTCCTACCCTTTTGTTACCTCAAATGCACAAACCAATAGACACAGTAGAATTTCATCTTTTACAGATTGTCTGCCTTTGTTTCTTTTTTATATATATATATATATATATATTCCATTATGATTCACACTAAATAACACAATAGTGACCTATCTTTAATGCTCGTATCTAATAAGTGTGTATCTGTTATGGTGTACTTGCCCAGTCTCTGAATTCTACTCCAGTCATCAATAAAATGAAAGTTAGCTTCGTAATTACACTTGCATCAATCTGCATAGTCAACTGTGAAAAAGTTATAGGTATTGACGATGCACTTTCACCAAAATTATGAAATTTGAATTGGGTCCAAAAAAAAAAAAAAAAAAAAACACACACACACACACACACATTCTAAATTCTGTGTACATAGACCACAGAGAGATGAAATGCTAAGCTTGAGTCTAATTTATCAGAGGTCATGGTCTCTAATAAAAGCTTGTAGTGCATATAAACATGAAAGAGGACATTGTCTTACACGTCCTATAACAGAATCTATAGGGCAACACAAGGCTCTATGAACTAAAACTAGTTGAAGATGTACGTTTCAAACTTTGAACCTTTGTGCTGAAACATTAGAGCATGTGTATGTCATTTATCAGAATTTAAAAACAAGTCACTTTGTCACAACAGGACATGTTATCAATGTTTTGTCAAGTTAGTTGCTTCGTGTGTATGGTTTTTTTTTCAAAAAAAGTTAAAGCAGTATGAACAAGGATTACAAGGGTTTCAGCTTAAGCTGAACTGAATGTAGCAGCCCAATGGATTAGCTATTACAACAAAACATAGATAACTAGTACTTCCTCAGGCCCATTTTATTTGTTCATTTACGAGAATTTAACTAGATGATATTTTTATTATTATTTTATTATCAAATTTATTTTTAATGGGTTAACAGTAATATGATGATTTATTTTTAAAGGTACACTGTACACTGTAAGAAAATTAAATTTAATAATATTACAAAAATAATACATTAATTTTTAAAATGAAATAATTATTTCGAGACGAGCAAATGGTAGTGAAACAATTGATCATACAAGTCTATTGGATGACTAAAAAGTTATCGACGGCCGATTGTTATATTATTATTACAGGAATACCTGAGCAAAGAGGCGCCCGTGGCCTAATGGATAAGGCGTCTGACTTCTAATCAGGCGATTGTGGGTTCGAGTCCCACCGGGCGTGCATTTTTTTGTTTATTTGCTTCTTCTCACCTTGAATCTAATATAACCTTTTATTTATTTATTTTATAGAAGAGTAAAAGAATGAAAATAAAAATAAATAATTGATAACCCCTCTCTTGCGCTTAAATTCATCCTCTGGACCGTGGTCCAAAGCCTGCCACTAATATTTTGGGCCGATGATTAATACTTAGCCTAGGCAGTGGTTACATTAAGTCCAACACTTAACCTTCTTTGAGCGCTTTACCCGTCGGTAGTCGGCCCAACATGGACTACACTTTGGGCATTGCTGGATGAAAGAAGCCCTACTGTATAAGAAAGCGGGGGAGATAAACTTGAAAAAATCAAGTAAATATATATATATATTTAATCATTTGTAAGAAATTCACACTAAGGGCAACCCCAGCGCATGGTTGTTTTCCCATTCTACACTTTATATAAAGTGTATAGTCACGTCAATAACTTTATATAAAGTATACAGCCACATTAGCCATTAATTGTACACTTATTTTGAAGACTCCAAGTTCTTGTTGTGCACTTATTTTTTTATTGTACACTTTATTATATTACTATTTTTTAAATAACAAAATAAAATTTATTATTATTATTATTTTTTTCTCAACAGTTTTATTGTTATCAACTATAATACTAATGGCTATAATTGTTTGGTCCGATTTAGATACAAGATTTTAAAAATATATATTAAAAAATAATAATATTACATTGATACATATAAGTGCATTACATAACTTCTTACAAATAAAATAAAACAATACAACTCAAGAAAAAAAAAAAAAAAATTAACATTAATACTTCCACAAATGAAAAAAAATATAGTAAACATTACAATTAATTGCCCCTTTTTGCATAACGCGCCATAATTTTATTTTGTTGATCCTCGATCCATGCTTTCACCGCCGGTGTTATAGCATCATTTGGATTTTTTTTCCATCATTTGTCTTTCCCAAAGAACTTGCTCTCGCTCAATCTCCATCATCTTCATTTCTTTTTGCGCCTCAAGCTCCTTTTATTTCATTTCTTTGTTGATCTGCACCTGTTATTGGATCTTCCCCAATATTAATCCACGCTTTGCATAACGCTTCATCTTCTTGGGTCGACCAATTTTTCTTATCTTTCCTTGAATTAGACTTGAATTGAGAAGGTTCAGATTGAGATGTATATTGGGAAGGAGGTTGAGATTGGATAGGAGGTGGGTATTGGGGAGGAAGTGGGTATTGAGAATGAGATTGGTATTGGGAAGAAGGTAAGTATTGAGAAGGAGATTGGTATTGGGAATGAGATTGGTATAGAGAATGTAGTGGGTTTTGGAAAGGAGAGAATTGAGATTGAGATAGGTTTTCGGATTGGTAAAATCCTGAAGAGTAAAAATCATAATTGAATTGTGGTTGTACTTCAGAGTTTTGCAATGGGGGTAACGGAGGTCGTTGATCCATGGAGTGTTTAAAGAAGAAAATTTAATCAGAAAAATTTGAAAGAAAGATTGAGAAAGAGAAAGATAACTAACTAATGAGAAATGTTGATAGAAGTGTAGTGGTATTTATAGAGAATATGTAATATTACAAACGGCTATATTTTATTTGTTTTTTCTCAATAGCTATATTCTGTTTATCTTTTTCCTAACTGTTATATTCTCAACAATTATATTTTACTTGTCTTATTCTAACGACTACATTATGTTTGTCTTTTTCCTAACGAATATATTCTGTTTGTTTAAAAAATAATAATTAATTAAATTATTATGCAAATTAAATGACTCTTTTTATTTATTTAGAAAAAAAATATATTTTTTAAGTAATTAAAATTTGACTATCTTTATATTAATTAATTAATCCAATACACATATAATATTTATTTTACACATCAAAATGCAATATCACTTTTTCATTTTATATTATATCACACACAAAGGCCCACAGTACCCTTTACTACTCTGAATTGCCACGCGCTACTTGATTATTTAACTATGGCGTTTGGAGTGTGTAATATTGCATGGGTCCCACAAGTGTGTAAGCTGCACAACAACCAATTTGCTTTTCCACAAATTTGCTTTTCCACAGTCATATATATTGTACACTTTGGGGATGCGCTGGGATTGCCCTAACACTCATTTGCTCACTCATTTGCTCATTTAGAGACTTGAACTCTTATCATTTATTTTGAAAAGTAAAAAAGATATCAGCGGATCACAATGTCCTTGAAAATCAATTAACTATTACTGAGTGCGTTTTCATTTTCTAAAAAACTAATTTTAATTAAATTGTAGAAATGATTCATTGTTCATGTTAATGCTTTATTGATTAGTATTGTGGATAGCAAGTTACCAAAAAAATAAAAAAAGCAGAGCAGGCGAGAATGAGAACTCAAAATTGAAGCTTGTACTCCCAAGTCCAAAAATGGTTTCTAGAACCTTGATGGAATGAAATAAATGCTACTTTTATATGCATTTTCCTTATATATATTAACCATATTTTTTAGTTGTTATGTTACGATTGATTTATTTGAGATAAGATTGACAATTAAAATTGGATAAAAAATTATATGGTGATATTTTATTAAAGGTCTGAAAGTAATATTAATTAGTACAACGAAAATACTTGCCAATATGAATTTCAAATAACTTGAAATCTATTGACATAAGCTTCTAAGGTAGTTTGTGCATGGTTATAAGAACTTGAAGCTAAATAAATAATAGATCAAAAATTAATTCCTTTTGAATCTTTTAACCTAAATAATGCAAGCCACATAAATTAGATTTCACGTTTCAAGAAAAATTCTCACTTCACTTGGGTTTACAATTATTATTTTTAATTGATTATAAAGGGCCATTTTCTTCACCTTTAACATTTGAGGAGGTTGAGTATTCAAAGTATATAATAAACCTGTGTTTGCTTGAAATTGAACTATATATATATATATATATATATATATATATATATTTCTTTTTATTAGTTACATAATATATAATCTTCAATAGTAATAAAAAAAAAAAAATTTAAAAAGTATAGTAATAGTCAAATTTATTTTAAAAATGAGCCGGTTCCGAATAAACGGTGTCTGGTCCCAAAAGTTTCCGACAAGCCGCGAACGGGCAAGCGTGTGTAGTATGCGTATGGTCCACAAACCATCCACATGCAACCCCGGCGCAAAATAGCATACAGCATTTGAATGGTACCCGATAAACCAACTACTGACAGGCTCTAATTGTGGTAGAGGCAACAGCTGTAAAGAGTAAACCAATCAGAACTCGTGACTCCCCCGACCCACCTTGTCCCATGTCTACTAAAGTCACACACTCTCTCTCTAGAAGTAGTTGTAGACAGAGAAACAGAAAACCTCTCCACCGTACTTCACCCAAAACCCACAACACTCTTTCTCTCACACCAATGGCGTCTCCGCAACCACTGAAACTACTCCTCCTCCTCTGCTTCACGGTCGTCGCGTTCAATTGCATTTCACATGGTCAAGGAGGTGAGGTCGAGGAGACCAGCATACACCTCATGACGGAGGCTCTGGAGTGGCCGTCGTTGACATCGATGTCTCTCTACGACGACGACGAAGGAGACATGGAGGAGGGTCGTCGATCACTGTTCTGGCGTGCATTGCGGCACTACTACATTTCGTACGGAGCTCTGTCGGCCAATAGAATCCCATGCCCACCGCGCTCAGGTAGGTCCTACTACACCCACAACTGTTATAGAGCCAGAGGCCCTGTTCATCCCTACACTAGAGGATGCTCTGCAATCACTCGTTGCAGGAGGTGATTTCTCCTGGCTTAGCTTGCTAGGGTTTAATTAATTGCAATTCTATATGCTGTATACATTGTTTTCTATTAATTAGTTGGATTTGTGTGTTTGTTTAATGGGTTGTTGGTTGTGATAATTAAACCCCTTGCAGATCTGTGTTAGTGTAGTTTGAGTTAGGCAAGGCATTTACTCTTTGATGTTGTGTCACTATTCTTGTATCGGTATACTTATATCTATCTGTGTTGACAATTGAGTTTATATAGACTTGTATTAATGTGAATTGTGTTTGGTTCTTGAGAAATTAATGGCTTGTTTTCTGCAATCTATGGCATTGCTTCCAATGAATAATGGCTTAAGAGAACATAGATAGTTCTTTCAAGAAGAGAGATGATGGATTGTTTGGTGACTGTATGGCTTAAGATCGAGAACATACATATATGTTTAAACATTCTACTGTCATTGCCCCAGTTGTTGGTGAATGTGATCAAAGCTTTTTATTGTGAAATTTATTTGTGTTTTTGGCTAGAGTTTGCCCTAAATAGGCGCATTATCCAGTTAATCTTAACTGGGAAGAAAATGTTCAAGCTTATGGGACGATTTTACACAGATCCAATTGTTTTCGAAAATCTTGGTATTAAAAAAAAAAAAAATTATGTTAGAAGTCAGTTTTGTTAAAGGAAAAAAACACAACTGGTGTTCTTAATGTTTTCTTGTCACTACCAGATTACAAAGGAAACCTTGAAGTTAAATATTGCTTTATGACATTTCTTTAGATAGTCAGTGGTGCTAGAGTGGTTAGATAGGTTTTATTATATTGTATACACACCCTATTTTGATGTGGGTATAGTGTTGATGAATTTCCTGCATGCAAATCCTGCAAAACGATATTCTTTCACTCATCAATGCTTTCATCTCTTTCCCCTTTTTTTTTTTTCCTTTCACCTGTCAAGTTTCTTTGACAACAGCACTTGCTAAAATGGTGCTTCTTTAGCTTTACTTATGTTAAGAAACCATCCATTTCTATCTGTGAATCGCCTAACCATTGTGGTTTTGCTCCAAAATTTTAAGCTGTGTTCAAAAAAAAAAAATGGCATGGTAAGGCTCAATTTTTCGCACATCTAGGAAGTCTGAGGCGGGTCAATTTTCAGAAAGCGTGCCTACACGCCTGACTTGCACCCAACACGCACTCAAGTGGCATCCGTTTTCCTGCTTATGCACATTCAACATCAATCTGGAAGCAGCTTTTCCCTGAATCTTTAATGTCATAAGCCAGAATCATTTCCAAACTCCAAAGTTCCTGTCCAAATGAAGAAGACACTTCAGTAGGCACCTGGGTGAGAGAGTATAATTTTTGACATATATGTGAATAGAGTGGTTGTCAAGTATATCAGCAAAAGCAGAATAGGTATTTGTCTATATCCTCAAGAATAAGTACTCATTCATGTTCAAGACATGAATAAGAATTGAAGTTTTGTTTTAGAATTAGTGTTTAGTTTTGGAAATTATTCTGTTTAACTTTTAAGAGTAAACTATTTGTGTAGCTATTTGGGTCAGTAATATTCCATACCCCATTCTTAGAAGGCTTGATAATGAAAATTTGTTGTAATAGCTAAGATGTCATTGTTGGGAATTAAGTCTGAAATTTTAGTAGTCTTATCCTTTTGTTAATCATTGTGAGAATAGAAATTGAATTCGGGAGAGGTAATGTCACGAGGAAACAGATTGGTTGCGGTGAGGGTGTTGTTTCTTTATCTCACACATTTTGTAGAGATAGTTGGGAAAGACGGAAGAACACTCACTAATCGTGAGTAGGGAACAATGATGCTTGAGTGGTCATGGATGGTCCACTGAAAAGGGCTCATGCTTTGGCTGCTAGTGGTGAGTGTTGCATCTTCTCTCGTATGTGAAAATAGGCTAGGTTGTGTCTAACCCGACCTGTATATTGCGTTAATTGCTTATTGTCTAGCTATGATTGGATTTCTACCAAAACGTGTTTTTGCTGGCTTAGTAGTTGTGTAGATAGTCCAGTATTTTAGCTGTCCGTGTCTTCATTTCAAATTCTCCTTCACTGATCTTCAGAAGGCGTGGAATGAAGAAACAGACCATGAAGTTCGTTTAATGGAATTAATAGTTTTGCTTAATAGTTTTCCTCCTGTTTTGGCAATTTCCCATCCCCTTCTTCAATCCCTTTCTACTCAACTATAAAGCACAAGGGAAAGAATTTTTACCTTTTCCTTATGATACCTCTCCTCTCTCTCCCTCCTATTTGTGTTTTTCGTGGTGTCCCTATTTGGGGAAATTTACAGGTTGTATTCTGAACTTGCTGTTTTCATCTTTGAGCTCACTGAGATTTCTCGAGCAAAAGGGAAAAGTCGACCCTTTCCGGGTCTTAGCTCAGTCAAGTCTAACGGGATGAAACATTTCCGATCAAGCATCTTCTTATCCTCCATTCTGAACTGAGCATAAATTATGTTAAATAGGAGCTATGTCGACAAATCTCAATCAAAATTCAATTATAATCAAGCTGTTTACAGTAGTTTCATAGGCTGTAAGAATGTTTTATGGGCAGTGTAGATGCATAAAATCTCGGACAGAATAGAATTTTAATGCTCGATCACTCAATCAAGAACAATGAAAAATTACTAGATGCTCAGAAATTATTCGGAAGAAAGAAGAAGGATCAGGTGGCCGTGACCAGCTTGCTTTATTTGGGTATTTTACCCGTATGTATTTATATTGTATATTGTTACGGTAATGGAGCCCTTTTTTAGGACTTTTTTTTTTTTTTTTTTTTTAAATATCAATCGATCTCTGATCTTTTCCTTTTTTTTCGTTCATGCGTTTATTTATCACCCGGTCAAGACTTTGCTTTGGGCCAACTGGGTTGTACATTTGCTATTGGGCCTATTTGTGTATGAGGCTCTCCTTTGACTTTTGGGCCGGTTTTAGGGTTGGGTTTCACCTTTTGGACCAGTTCCCTGGGCTGACTCTTTTGCTCAGCGGTGTACTAGAGGAGCCCTCCGTTTGGTGGGGAAATTTCCCTCCACAGACGGGATCCCGAATTATGTAAAAGTCATTTCATACTACTATTAGGCTCCAGTTGTTTGGATTTAAAATATTTTTAAAAAAATAATTTTTCATTTTCTTGTGTTTGATTGTTTTAAAATATTTACGAACAAAAAAAAAAAAAATAACTTACTCATCAATTTTTGACAAGTTATTTTACGCCCTGATGGATTATTTCGCAACATCTATCTAGGCCTTCGCCCTTTGCAAAACACCAAAAAATAAAAATATATATATATATATTGTATTTAATTTTTTTTTTTTTCTATAAATATTTTTACCTCCAAACAAACAGAGTCTTAATATTTGTCTGTTGACGGATGTTAAACTCCAAACAGAAATTAAAGTCCCCTTAGTGAGAACTAGAGGAATTCCCTGAGTCAATAGCAATTACTTGAGGTGGCTTTTATTTTATGTACAGATCGAGCGGCCATTGTGGTGTGGCATTGTTCCAGCAGAAGTTTGATGAGGATGGAAAATAAATAAATCTAAATATTCCTAAATATATGTCCTCTGCACCTTGTTATATCAATGCAGATTAACCGAATCTAAAACAACAATCCAAACGGAAGTTGGATTCAAATGGTAAAACAGTAGGGCAAAAACTCTTCAGGCTAAAAAATACCGGATGAAAATTAATGTGGAGCTATAACACACTGTTCGCGCGATTTTTTGGTCTTACGCCGGTCTATGGACTCTTGCGGATGTGCCAGAGTATTTGTATAAAACACTCAAAATTATCATTCGAACACTAGCGTATCCATTTTTCCGATTGCTGACTCTCAGGCGAATGTGTGGGAGAAAGACTAGTAAAAACTCCTCGCAAGGTTCTTTTATGTCTTGATACAAGGACTTTTTATCTAGGTGTTAAAAAGAAAATTGACGGTTTTCCGTTCTGCCAGACCTAAATATGCCTCCTGCCCAAGACCTGCCGGAGCTTCCTCAACCTATCGGTCAAGTCACTTCAAATAGTCAATCAAAAGATAGAGGCACGAAAAAATATCGACAGATAGAGCTATCTCTTTTATGTGTTTAGTGAGGAGGCTGAGAAAAAAAGGTCTAACGGTCGAAAAGAAAAAGTACTTCCGTTGGATGATGAATATGCTTTTTCTTCATTTGATGACGAAACACTAGAAAGAAGGCTGAATAAAAATTGACTGAAAAGTAAATGGCTGAATTAAAATGGATGACCAGAACTTAATCAATTGCCAATGAAATGGATGACAAGAATTTAATCGATTGCCAATGAGATGAAGGATAAGAATTTAATCGATTATCATTCAATTTAACTTAATAAAACAAACATTTTGAATTAAAATATCATAACAAAATGTAGTGACAAGAATTTGATCAATTGTCATTTAATTTAAAACAATTTTAAATTGAAATAACATATTTAAAATTGACAGAATGGAAATTGCATGGAAAGTAAATGAGTAAAATAAACTGGCCGAATTAACATGACGCGAATCTGATTAAAGATTGGCCATTGAATCCGTTTGCATGAATAATGTAAATAGCATAGTTAAAGCATTGCAAAAGAAAAGTAAGTTACTAGAATTCATATTATTTGAATGAAATTTGCCATTTGGACAAAAGAAATAAATAAATTGAATATTATTTGAATGAAATTTGCCATTTGGACAAAAGAAATGAATAAATTGATAAGATGACGTAGAGTCAATTGAATGGATTTTTATTCATATTTTGTGGGTAGTGCTAGACAAATTGGAATAGGATTACAACTTTCCTATTTATAGAATTATTTCTCAACTTATTTTCTTAACTTTTTGCTAGAAAATCTCTCCTTCCTTGATTTTCTCTCTCTTCAAAATCAAACTAGGTTTGATGTTGACTTCTCTTTTTCTTCAAATAAACTTCCCATCTCCAGCTATAATATACAGATTCTTCTCCATCATCGCCGGCTTCCCTTTGAATTAGTCAAAACTCATATTCCTTATTTGCCTTAAACTAAGTCAAAATTGGAGCTTCCATATAATAACTCAACTTTCCTTCCTTATTTGTAGAGCTTTAGTTATTGACCCACCGTCAAATTCCAATATTTCCCTATAAGTCAGGAAATATATGCTATGAAGTAATCAATTATTTGTTGCTAAAATTTAGCAACCTACCATTTAGCTTCGCAACCAAACAATATATCAAATATAATTCCACGGATCACCTCCTTTTTCTCCAATAATTTTCATATGGCCAATTCTCATGGTGCCATGTTGA